GTGTGACCTGCGACCTGGGCTGTGGATATCAACAGTAGATGTTCTGTGGTTATTAAAGTGTTTGTTATCCGTCTTCAGGCTGCTGGCAGTGATATATTCTGATGGCTGTGACAGAAGCTCTGGCGAGAGGAGGATTAAATGAGTTTACCGAGAGCACAAACATTTAAGCTCCGTCTGCAGTGAAAGGTTGTAAAGCTGCTGATGGGAGCTCATTATATTCTGACAGGAATCCAGGAGTATTTCTGTGCTGCGTCTTTTCTTACTTGTTGTTTTTCAGCGGACATAAATGTCTGTTAGAGGTGTGGAAACTTCTGGATTGTAAATCTCTTTTCTCTCGCAGTATCACCAGGAAACCAAACGTCTGTTTCTTCCCGCAGTCGGCGTCGTGACGAGAACCTCGGGCTGCACAGTTAATCGAATATTAATCACAATCCTGATTTTGGCTCCCCACAGTTAAATGAACACGATCGTCTCTGACATTAATGTTTAAAACGCTCGGCTCATAGAAAACTCTGCTGCACATCGAATCAAGCACTTCCTAAATGAACAGTAGCCACAGCGGGGGATCCAGATGTTCTGGTTTCCACCCTGCAGCTGCAGTCTGCAAACTTTAATTCACACATGAAATTATGAAGTTGCTGCTGATGAAAGCTGAAGATTTCTTACTGCTGCAGCTTCACTTTAAAACAATAGTCTGATACCTGGCAAAAATAAAAAAATATGATTTATTATTCATTGTTGGCTTCCTGTCCTCGGCTGGATAATGAAGTGCGAGGCAGGGATTTAAACACACGATATAAACGTTAAAGGAGTCGCAGATTGCAACCAACCAACCACAGCTCGCCTTATAAGCGTGTACGAGAAACTACGATTAGCTGTGGCCGATAACTTGAGAAACTGTTTTTTAAAACACCATTAAAAGTGCACAGAACGAGCTGTTAGCAGTGTGAATGTACAGACAACCATCACTGGATTACTTTAATATTAAGGAAAACTTTAAAATCAGTTCTACAGTTATAACTGACCCCAACACTAGAAGAGGATAGAAACGTCTCTAAGGTAACGAAAGCTCAATGATTCTTATGTTCACCAATAAAAACATCTCTGTGATTATTCTATTATTTCTGACAATAGATCCTCCTCAGTGTGTAAAAACTGACCTTTAAAGGAGTTAAAGTTATTTGAGTTCGCCCTGAGGAGGTGGCGGTGCTGGACGTCAGAGGATTCACCCTCTGGGAGCCACGAACCTCGAGCTTCATCAAATATTTAAGCCTGGAGTGAAGTGGTGACCGTCCCTGGAGCCGGCGGCAGCAGCGAGGCTAAAGAGCAAAAGCAAATAGCTTTAAATATGAATGTGGAAACGAGCAGAGCGAAGATGTAGCACTGATGTAAGCAGAGAGCGGGGTAAGGTCAGTTCGCTTTCAATGCTGCTGTGTATTAAAGATTTAAACAGAAAGAGCTGTAACCATATAAGTAATAAATAAATGTTGAGGAGTCGGCCCACTGCAGATACTCCGTTTCATTTGGGTGTTTTTATCCAACCTTATGTTTCTGAGGCTATTGTCTCTGTGGAGAATAAATCTTCTTCAGTTGCTGTTGTTCACTGCAGCAGTTCTGCCTTCATATCGTCCTCTGGTTCGGCTGCAGAGAATCTAAACTTCATCGTCTGCTGATAGTCGAGGATTTACAGTCAGTATATTTACACACAGAACAAAGGCACAGTTCAATCAGCTTTTAATACCATGACATTATCAGTGCTACATAAGGCTGCTCAATTAATCGAAATTTGATCATGATTACGATTTTGGGGCCAAAGGATCTCAAAACTAATAAAATCGGGGAAACGATTTGTTTTTTTCCATTTTCTGCTGTTAAACGTTGTTTACAGTCTGCGTATTTCCGTCCCTCCCCCCCCGCAGCGATTCTGAGGGGAAACGGAAACTGTAACTGGACTTACTATGCAAAGTGTTTCTTGACAAATCCAATAAGAATGCAGCTGTTTCTGAGGAGTTTAAAAATAATCGTGAAATCACGTGATGTTCAGATTTTGACCCAAATAATCGTGATTATGATTTTTTCCATAATCGAGCAGCCCTAGTGCTACATGTGAGGGATCTATATGAGCTTTATAATACTGATACAAATCACGTCTCAAACACAGTTTAGAAACTTTATGGACCTTTGTGTCGGTAAAATGAGCAAGAATGTCTCTTTTTGTTCACTTCAGCATATTAAATATCTGAAAAAGACTCTTCACTACACTGACGCAAAAATGAGGTAAAAAAGACTGATTTCAGGTGGGTAGTTGACTGATTACCAATATGGGTCCAAGAGGCTTTTTTGTGCGTCTCGTCATGATACTGGTACTGATTTTCATATATATCTGTAAAACGTGCGTTTAGTGGCGCTGTCGAGTCGATGTCCGTGTGTGAGACCCACAGATCCGTATATTTTAAGGTTTGTGCAGCCAGAAATGTCTCTCTGTTGGCAGAAAAATAATTATTCTTTGTGTTTCGATGAGGCTTCACAGCAGCTCAGGCGCTAAATATATTTTCTAGATTTTTGTCTGAGAAAAAGGAATATTGTTCAGTGATAATTTGTCTTTTTAGTAGTCATTAAGTTATTATGTGTCACAGTTGGTGAATTTAAAGAGATCAGTTTCATCCTTTGACTTTAAAAACAACAACAGAAAGAGTTCTGTGTTTCCATCCAAAGGGACATCCTGAACTTCCTCCGAGAGGGTGAGCTTCCTCACCGGGACCGAGTGCGAGCGGTTCACCGGGAGGCTCAGTACTACGCCATCGGCCCGCTGCTGGACAGCCTGGAGGACACGCAGCCGCTCACGGGGGAGAAGGTCCGACAAGCCTTCCTCGACCTGCTGCCCTACTACAGAGGTAACTGAAGGTTCAGTAACAGTGGAAAATAATCTCACACCAGCTTCACACACAGACTGAAGGTGGAGCAGTAAAAACTTCTAATTCGAAGATTAAATTGGGTTCTTGTTTGTTCTGAAGGCAGAAACAGTTTAATTAATGTTCACAACCTGTTCAGTGTCAGAGAACCACGTACACACACACACTCCACACACACACACACACTCCTCACACTCCTCACACACACACACTCCTCACACACACACTCCACACACACACACACACTCCTCACACTCCTCACACACACACACTCCTCACACACACACACACACACACACACACTATATAGGTAGTTTGATTTATATACACTGTAAAGAAATCTTATGTTAAATATTAATAAAGTACAAAAATATCCTGTGAATTTAACGTAAAATAATAGTTTATTTAATAGATTAAACTGTTAAATCCAAGTTTAGTAGTTAATACATTTTTAAATTAACAGTAAAAAACAGTGTTATGTAATTTTACATGGATTTGTTTGTTAATTGATATCTTGTATAATTATAGAAGTTTTGACAATAAAAACGTTGCATAAATGTTATCAGTGTATAAGCGTTGGTAAACGGTAAAAATACAGTTTTTATTAGTGAAAATAATAAATAATTACTGTAATTTCACAGCTGACTTTTCTTATAGTTCTATAACTTTCTGATTAAAATAAGAAAAATCAAATAACAGCACTCTGCTGTGAACTGAAGCCTCATTAACTGTATTTAAAGCTTATTTCATTGTTTTTACAGTGTAAATATCTTTATTTAAACATTATTTCACAGTCTGTTTTGGCTGCAGGAACATTAATGTTACATCACATTTGTTCTGCTTCCAGACAATCTGGAGCGCATTGTGGAGATCGCCAAACTGAGGGCGATGCAGAAAAAGGCTCGCTTTGCCAAACTGAAGATCTGCGTCTACAAGGAGGAGATGCCGATCACGCCGTACGAGCGCCCTCTCTTTAACTCTCTGCGCTTCGAGCGCTCGGACAGCGAGGCCAAACTGTTCGAGCACCACTGCGAGGTGGACGTTTCTTTCGGACCTTGGGAGGCGGTGGCGGACGTTTACGACCTGCTGCACTGCATCGTCAGCGACCTCGCCGAGCGCGGCATCACCGCCGAGCAGCAGTGCATCGGCGTCTGCGACAAGCACCTTATCAACCATTACTACTGCAAGAGGCCCATCTACGAGTTCAAGATCACGTGGTGGTGAAGCCGCGAGCCGATCGGACCAACGACGTACAGATGTTCTGTTTTTACGACAATCGGCCGATATTGGTTTTTGTATCGAAGTTGCCAATATTTTGTGCTGACGTCTTAAAACGTGACCCTTTAATCAAACTTTCCCCAGTTTTCTTTTTGCTACTCGGAGGATAAATTAGGACATTTAAGCACTCGCAGTGTGCCGCTGCGTTAAACTAAAGTATATATATATAAAGTATATTTATGTACGTGTGAAACAGCGCTGGTGTAGACGGACTGCTGCCGGTTCTTCAGAGGGAGATTCTGTAACTTCTTGCCATAAATAACACAACAGTGTCTGTACTAATGTTAGCCACCAGAAGCTGATCAGACCGGATAAAGTGCGTTTGAAGTAAACTTTAAGACTCATTTCCTCCTTTAAAAGTTACGTTTTCTCGCTTTAAGCCATCAAACCTTTTTGTTTTTAAACTTCAAATCTATTTTTTCCAACTTGCAGTGAAACTGAAGGTCTTCACCATCCTGGAGGAACAGCAGAGAGTTGAGCTTCAGTTGTTTATATCCTGAATGTATTATTGTTTATTGAACTGCATTAGCTGGTTGATCAGTCGACTGTAGCGTTGATCAGGATCAATATGTGACATTTAAATATTGAATATTGTAAGTAGGTAAACTGAAGTCAGGTCTGTATATTTTAGGACTGAGTTTAGTTTGAGGGTTCCTCACAGAGAACATTTTAATTATGCAACCTCCTGAGGAGTGTTTCAGTCGGCTGGTATCCATCACGTCACCGGCTCCGGGGGAAAGAACGAGTTTGAAAGATTCAAATCAAACAATTTAAATAATTCTTCTTGTTTAATTCAACCTTTATTTAACACTTGAGTTCAGTGAAGCTTCGATATAGAGAAAGATAAGTTTCATGTCGTTTCCTCGCTGTACCTGATGAAGTCTGAGCACCTTGTGATTGTAACCGGATTATTATTTTTACCTCAAGTGAGAATCTGATGATCTCCAGTTATCAGCCTCAGTTGTTTTGGAGCTACGTTCTTCCTACCAATGTTATTTTAATGTTTGCGAGAATGTTTTTATATTGTTATTTATCTGTTTCCGTTAGCTTCTAGGAAGCTATAGTTCGATATTTGGGCTTGTTTGTAGTGTTATTTTTATTATTTATGGTGAAAATTAAAAATAAATTATAATGCTTTCACAATGTGTCGCTCTGTTATTTATAGAAATATGTTGAAGTATTAAAGAAAATTCACTTTATAAACTGTTTACTGACAGTAAATGTTTTTAATTATTTATTTATTTCATTAAATAAAATTAAATACCAGTGGCAGATCAATATGTATTGTATTGATTCCGTAATCAATAAGTTCTGTACGTGTTCGATGTGTAATAACGTGTGTGAAGCCTTTTGTGTCTCCATGGTGACATATGATAAACTGACTCAAGTGATGTCACTTAAGTCTTCGTCAGTTGACAAAAACAAAACTTTGTCGTGGTTTTGGTTTTTCTTTGTGATTTTTTTTTGTTTTGTTTTATTTTGTAATTTTCCGTGTGTCTTGTTTTAGTTCCAGTTTTGAAGCTGATAAATCCTTTTCTGTCTCCATGGTGACATATGATAAACTGCCTCAAGTGATGTCATATGAGTCGGCGTCAGTTGCGGCTGAAGACTACAAGTTTGAAGATGAAGAACCCGATCTCTGTAGCTCGCTAATCTTAATCGAGCTACATTATTAGCTGCTAGCACGAATGTTGGACTGAACTGTCAGCCGTAGAGTTGCATTGTGGGTAATGTAGGCGCAGTTACTGTTCGTTGTTTATCAGTTAAATATGAAAAATCTTAAAATACTAAAAGTGAAAAATGCCTTTTTAACCCTTTAAGATCCGGAGTCCCGAATGTTTGTTCCTGTATTTAATAATTTATGCCAAAAAAACACAATTTTTTTGTCTTTATATTAAAATACAACTTTTTATTTTTTAAGCATTAACTAATTTAGCTCGCTAACAGCATTCGGGGCATCAGGAGGAGCCGAGGAAGCTGATTTTCTCACAGAAGATCCGTCTCGTGCTTCTATCAGAATAAAGTGAAAGTGTGACAAAAAATGTGACAAAAAATATTTTAATAAAACACGAGTTCACCACTGGCAGCTCGTGGTGAAATCGTTAGTAAGCATCAGAGGAGACGCATTAACTCTGATAACAAACACAAACCTGAAGGTTTCAGGTCTCTCTCTGCTCTCTCCTCGTCGTCTCTGTCTGTGCGTCTGCTGTCTCTCGCCCTTCCTCTCTCCCTCGCCTCCTGGTCTCTTGGTCTCTCTGCTGTCTGTCTCTGGTTCTCCCTGCCCCCTCCCTCTCTTCCTCCCTCCCTGCCCTCGCCCCTTCTCTCTGCTCTGTCTCTCTGTCTCTCTCTCTGTCTCCTGGCTCTCTCGCTCGCCTCTCTCTGGGTGTCTCTCCCTCCGCCTCTCTCTCTCTCGTCTGTGTCCTGCTCTCCCTCCCCCTCCCTCTCTCCCTCTCCCTCCCTCCCTCCCTCTCTCTCTCTCTCTGTCTCTCTCTCCCTCCCTCCCTCCCTCTCTCTTCCCCCCTCCCCTACCCTCTTTCCTTCCCTCCTCTCTCTCTCCCCTCCTCTCTCTCTCTTCCTCTCTCCTCCCTCCCTCCTGCTCTCCTCTCCCTCCCTCTCTCTCTCTCTCTCTCCTCTCGCCTCCTCTCTCTCTCCCCCTCCCTCCTCCCTCTCTCTCTCTCTCTCTCTGTCTGTGTCGTCTCTCCCTCCCTCCTCCTGCGCTCTCTCGTCCCTCCCCTCTCTCTCCCTCTCCCTCTCTCTTCTCTCTCCCTCCCTCCCTCCCTCTCTCTTCTCCCTCCCTCTCTCTCTCTCTCCCTCCCTCCCTCCCTCTCCTCCTCCTCCCTTCTCTCCTCGCTCCCTCCCTCCCTCCGTCCCTCTCTCTGAGGGGTGGAGGCTGAGCTTGTTTCCAGGCAGAGGGATGGAGGAAGAAGCAGGGAGTTATTTCAGTGCTGTCCTCCTTCACTCGGGCTTTCTTTCTGTTGTCTTTTCTCTTTCCCCCCCCCTTTCAAAAACTTTGATGATCCTCATCCTGTTTTTCATGGCGACACATCATCATCAGCTTTAAAGACTTGGAGCCGGAGAGCCGAGGGTTCATCAGCTGCAGGACGAGGGTAACGACCGCACGCGTTTCTGATCACCATCATTTAGTTGTTGTGTGTGTGTGTGTGTGGTGTGTGTGTGTGTGTGTGTGTGTGTGGGGGTGGAGAGTTACATAACAGCGGCGAGGGACGGGCGACACGAGACGATTAATTAGGAGCTAATAATGAAGAGCATGCGGGGAACACACGCACTGGTGGATGCGGAGGGTGAGCGGCGGGTTGCGGAGCTCCTAGGCCGCCGCCGGGTGGACGGAGCTCGGGGAAGCGGAGAGGTTCCGGGGCTGCCGGAGTGAAGGCCCCGGCGGCCTTCTCAACCGCCAACCGAGACAGGGGCCATTACAAGCAAGCCCCTCAACAGGACACACAGCACAACACACACACAACAGCTGAGAGCGGGTTATTAGTTTTATTATTATCATCATCCTTATTATTCCTGAGATCTTGGATCAGCCTCCGTCTCCATGGCAACGGGACATCTCCAGCCTGTTTGCTCTCTGCTTCCTGCGGATGCACCTGATCCCAGCAACAACAACAGCAGCAGGAACATTAGCCTAGCTCCTGCTTCAAAGGGGGACACACACGTTCAGGTTCATTCTCTGAATATATGAAGATGGTCTCGTGTTTATTTTATTGATCATCCTTAAAGAAAACAGAGTTGACATGTTTCTAAGAGCTGTCCTACCTGTTAAAGGTCGTGACATGAATTAATGTAATGAATTCATTATACTTTATTTAATCAGGTCTCGTTGAGAATGATAATCTGACAGCAACAGTGCTGCTGTAGTCGAGACCAGGACCAGGACCAGGACTAGTCCAGACCTAAAAACCAGCCAGGTGTATGATTGTGACATTTTTAAAAATACTTTCCCTCATTATTCCTGCAGTTGTTGGTTAACCTCAGTGTCTGTTACACACTTTATATAAAATAAAAATAAAAATACACATTATTCACTGTGTGTAAGTGACCTTGGTGTAACCATGGTTACCAGGCAGCTGATGTCAGATGGATTTTTAATTAAAACTAAACTCGCCTTCCTGAACAAAGCTCGCTTCATCAGTGGTTTTATTTTAAAGGAGGATGTTAGAATATTTGGCGGGAACGGCGGCCGACTGCGAGTAAAAACACAGACGAGTCTGAGTCGAGTCCCAGACCAGGACCAGTCGAGACCAACATTGATTAAAAACAATGTGTTTGAGTTTTGGCAGACTGACAGTTCAAAGTTCTTCTAGATCGACTACGAATTAAAACCAATACTTGTTTCCTGAGTGCGTTTAATCAATGGTTTTATTTAAGTCAACACAAACATATCGCTGCACTCGGTCGAGACCAACGTAAAGTCCGAGAGAAACAACTTGTAGAGACTCAGTACAGCCAATAAACACGAACAAGAGCCGACAGCCAAGAATGAATAAAAACACCAGATAATGAAATATATCCGGACGAGTCGTCACTGGGTCGAGTGCTGCAGTAACAAGATTTAAAGCTTTAATACGTAATCCTGTAATCCTGATTCCTTTCTCATTTTTAATCCATGTTAACGAGTTTCAGTGCTGTTTTATTAGCATTTAGCTAACTGCAGTTACTTTTAGACAATTAGTTCACAACTTTTATTATTTACCTACAGAGAGACGAACCTCAGTGACCTCAAAGGTACAAAATCAGAAGTACTGGTTCTACGTCCCTACGTTTAATTCAAATATCAGAAAACACCAACAGCTCATAATTAGGAGTTTAATTACTAACAGTAGAGGAACAAATCCCCAAAAAATGCTTTAATTTGTGATACTGGAGGTAGAATAAAACTACTATGTGTAGTTTTTTAATTAATAGTCGTGTATAAATATTACTTTATTCGGCTGTTTGAAACTTTCACAAAACCGAAGCGTCTCCGTAACGAACAACTTCTGTTTTATCACACGTATCTTAAAATAATCTTCAGAACGTCACCAAACTGGGAGCGAATGTTCACAGAGAGTTGTTTCATCGATACCTGTGTCCATCATCACGTAATCGCACACGAGTTACAGACAGAAATGTTTAATTTACCCACCTGATGCACAGGAGCCCCGAATGTATCACAACCTGACTCACTGCTGTGATAAAGGAGGCGAGAACAAACGAGTCGTGACTAAAAATACGTTTATTTTACATACAAAGAGAAAAGAAGCTGAAGACAAACTAAAGATGACAGAAAACAGCTGAATCTGTAAATTAAAAATCAATAAAATGATTTTTAAGACAGCTTTTAGTTCCTCTACTGCGACTATAATAAAACCATATCATCTCCAATCAATCTAGATAATCTGTAGGCTGTAATCTCTAATGAAACCAGTAATTATCATAAATTAAAAGCAGATAATTCTTAACTAGCTGTCTTTATAATAAATGCCGTGTTTCCTATGTGTCCCGGTGCAGTAAAAGCTCACTGGTCGTCTCACTACAATCGTTTTATCTTTAATGAAACACACTGAAGCGTCCTCCTGTTTTCAGTCGGTGGTTTTCTCCCCGAGCGTCCACAGAGCTGCAGGTCTACCGCCACCGTAGTGAACTGGATCTGGTAACCTGATGATTCAGCACCCAGCTGGAGGTATTATGGTTTAAACTGAACTCTCTGTTAATAATGAGCGTGTGAAGTTTCCAGAGGAACGGCAGCGTGTCGGCTGTTAGGGTGAAACTTCCACTGGGAGAGGTTTCTGTTAGAAATCCTATTTTTGTCCCTCAGTTTCTCACCAACGTCGTCCAGAGAATCTGAGTGTGAATCTTCGTTGGGCTGGAAAAAAGTAATAACTTCAGTTTGTTTTTGGTTCATATTTCTTCCAGTTAAAGGTTTTAAATGTAACTTTAATACAACTTTAGTTAACGGTGACACCAGTGGCCAGTAAGTGAACTGCAGTCTGCGTTAACTCCATGCTGCTAACTAGCTCGCCGTTTACAAATCGGTCGGTTGTTTGCAGACGTTAGTGGACTCCATTTATAAGCTAACGTTATCTAGTGTTGCCCGCTGTTGATGCTGTTAGGAAGCGGAGAGAGAGAGAGAAAGCATAACAAACATCCAACAGTGCAAAGAAGCATAAATAATAAATCAGTTAACAGAGGGAATCTGGAAGGTCTCATTTTATAAGTAACATTACAACCTGTTCTTTCTTTGAACCTTTAATATTCTTGTAAAGAGACATTAAACCTCTTTATAGTAAGAATATTATAGTATATTATATCAGGTAACAGATGTTTCTGAAACCGAACGTTTGCTCTTCAGAGGAACATGAAGATTTTCCACTGATCATAAAATAAACATGTTGGCTGAACCAGTTGTGACCAGTAACATTTAAAGAGGCCACAACCCAGTAACCCACTTTAACCTGACCTGACTATTCTACTGTGAATATAACAGAATATAAATATCAAATGTCTGCCTGTTGCTGTGAAGGCAAACTCATGACTGGCTTTTAATGTGAAACATTTGCAGGGTTCGAACAATCACCAGTGGGTTTTTAGATTAGTATTCTATATTATTGTAGAGAATAAGCTCTGTGGTGAACAAAGGTTTATAATAATGTTGAAATTGACTCCAGTTTTATGATTTTTGAAGCGTACATGTGATTACCAGAAGTAAAAAACTAACGTTAGCCTATAAACTACACCACTGTCACATGACTTCAGCGTCCCCACAGTAAACTTCCAACTTGTAATTAAATCTTTTATTAACTTAACTAACTTATCAACTTGTAAAGTTTGAGTTAGAATAACTTAAAGTCTCTGTTTTAAAGTCCGTTGCTACATTAGCAATTAGCAGAGTTGAAAATACAGGAATTTAATTTTTGTGATATTTTTGGCATCAATTGTTAAATAGGAAAACATGACTGAGGATGTGATCTTAAAGGGTTAAAATTACACATTTAACTAACTCTAGCGATACACTAAATCACTGTATCTTCAACAATCAGCTGTTTGAGTTCATCCAGTGAACAAATACAGAGAAATACTTTAAGATTTTAATTTGTTTCCACGTGACTTCCATACTGCCTCTGCTCAGCTGTTTGCCTAAAAATAACCGGCGTCCCCCCGTGTAGCCTCAGCTCGATTTTGTCCACATCTGGACCCCAGATACCTGGTTAACAAGGTCCCTGAACGCAGCACAGATCATAAAAGAGAGAGAGCGTCTGCTGATGCGTTCATCATAGACGGACTCCTGTAAGCATCAGTGAAACAAAGTGTCTCATATCAAACGCCTGAAGTCTCTTTTAATGGTGATCGTTCACTTACTCGCTAATAAAAGAGAGTGAACTACAACATTAACAACAATTAAAACTGTTGATTATATTGACTGAAACTTTGTGTTGAACTGCGTCGTTTTGATAAGTTGAACTGAGGGAAACTGCAGCTGATTAAAATGGAGACGACGATGTTTACATAATTAAAAACAGGAATATTGAATCTAAATGTGGTTTATCGAACTTGCATTTACAATTTAATTTACAGTGTAATTATTTTAGGAATTATGCATGACTGATCTCACATGCCCCTGCAGTACTCCAAAGTACCCCTAGGGGTCCAATATAGCCCCATTTGAGAAACACTGCTCCTAACAAGCTCGTCTCTATTCACAGACCCTCGTCTATTAGACAAAAGAACAACTACCAGCTGTTACATGAATGACGCCTTTCTGCACATTCAGCACATTGTTCTTCCTCAGGCGCCCGGAAACAACGGGATGAAACGGACGAAGGCCAATCCTGAACCGCCGTGCATCCAGCAGCAGTTTCCTGCTAAATATTGTGAGCACTTGGTGGTTGGACTGAGCTGTGCGTTGCCATGGAAACCGGCGCTGTTCAAGCTCATAATATTCCCCCGTGAATGGAGAGCAGAACGGCTTCAACACAGCCATTTGTTCCAGTGGTAGAAAGAAAGAAAAACCCCCACACACACACACTGATGGTGGCTTATAGGCGACGTGCGTAGTGTTCAGTGTGTGTGTGTGTGTGTGTGCGTGTGTGTGAGCGCCACATCACAGTGACCACGTAACGATTATTAAACTGTATGTCACAGATTTCCCTCGTGGACGCCAGATTATCTCCTGGAGGAAGCGTACAGTGTTTTAAAATCACATCGTGACTGCACCATAAACTCGTACGTGACGTTTGATTCGCTCCCCGTTTGCAGCCTTTCAGGGAAAAATGTTGTTTCTGCTCCTGTCAGACATCCAGCAGCTGGTTTATGGAAGATTTAAACTGCCAAAATGAAAACAAATCAAACAAAGAAAGTGAAAAACAAAAACATATTTTCATGTATATTTACTTTTCATGTACTGTGATAATGTTAAGAGTAGATTAACTCTTTAAAGATGAGACTTTATTGATCCAAAAAATATTTAAGACACGTATGATGTTTACAATGCTGTGTTCATCATCTTAATTTAGCGTGTTAGCTGAGGCTGATGGGAATTTAATTTATTTTTCAGGTGTTTAGTCATAAAACAAAGTGATTAAAAAGTTAAAGGTTATATATATATACCTTCAGATCATCGTAACTTCATTCAAAGTGGACAGAAACAGAATAAAAATCATTAAACCATCTCTGTTAGTCTTTTCAACAACCATCTCTGGTTTGGTGGAAATAAATCCACCGATGTATCTGCACAGGTGGAGGCGCACCGGACATTTAGTTGCACTATGTGACCTCTGCCTTTTTACTAAAAACCTATTTATAAGAAGTGCTTGTTAGAGCGAGTTAGATCAGATGGCTGCAGCTCACAAGGTGACTGTCACTACAACAAGAAAGTTAAATATAGGAACGGACACAGTTTGGGTCACAGTCTGTATCTGCAGTGGATAATTATCTTATTCTTCACAGTAAAGATTTCCCCTGTCGGTGCTGAGGAGCTCCGCACGCCTACGAAGGCGTTTTACAACCTTAATTCAGGGTTACGCACACTCTTTACTGCGGGAGATACTGTGACAACGTGCAGCTTTCTACTGGCAGTGTGGGGGCGGTGACATGTTTTTCTCGGCGTTACCGTAGCTGAGCGGTTTCGTGCTGATACCATTTAAGTGCTACTGGTGAAATCTGCATACTGGTCTCAGCTCATGTGGTGGTGGAGTTAGAGACAATGGCAGAGTAGGAGGTATTTTGTTTATGATATTATCTGCCACTCAATCTGAGAGTACGTCCACATTAAGTCGGTTGAATTTGTGAAACGCATCGATTTTCTTCATTTCAGCCTCCGTCCAGGCTGAAAACGGCGTATTTCTCCCCTCAAATATAGAATAAACATTCACTCTGTACCAGGCAGGAACTGCAGAGCAACACCATATTTACACCTGGTAGTAAAACAGGATCTGTGTCCATTTTTAATATCAGGTGTTAATGAGGTCGTTCCTGTGATCACACATTGTAAAGGTCCATTCAGGAGGATCTATTGTTAGAAATATAATATTATATTCATAGGTATGTTTTCATCAGTGTATAATCATACAATGAATTAGACGAGTGAGACGTTTTTTATCCTTTCAGTGTCTGTAAATCCTGTTTTCTGGACAATTTTAGGACAATGTAGTAAATTAAAACTAAGGGAATCTTCATGTTCTCCTCTGGGAACTCTGACTTCATCTGTGTGTTACTAAAATAATACTTAAATTCTTAATTACTCATCTATTTCAGCTTTTTACACTTGAAACAATCAGAAATAAAGATTTAATGTAATAAGAAATCAAATTAAATTTAGATTTTGACGCTGCTGTTGCGCTACATATATATCAGTTGATGCTAATACAAACACAGAGGTTCATAAGAATAGAAGAGAAGACATATTTAATAAGAACATAACTGCTGTTCTACATAAAACACATTTGACTGGACAGTCAAAAAACATTAAGCCATTTTTCTCAGTTTCGTTGTTATTGTAGTTACTGCAGTTAACCTGGGCAGCATAGTAACCTAAAATAAAAGTAAAAGTACCTTAAAATTGTCTCCATCATTTGTACTCTGAATAAAAGCAGAAACAACTTGCTAATCCCAACTCATGACCACCATGTTTCTTCCCTGACAGGCTTGAATCCACCTACGAACCCCATGGAGCAGGATGTGGAGAGCCCGGCCATCATCAGACCGCCCAAGTTGCCGAAGCAGGCCCGCGAGGACCTGCCGAAACAACTGGCGAAAGTGGACCGAAAGAAGAAGATCCAGCGGTACGTCCAGAAAGACGGGAAGTGCAACGTCCATCACGGGAACGTTCGGGAGAGGTACCGCTACCTGACGGACATTTTCACCACACTGGTGGATCTGAAGTGGAGGTTCAACCTCTTCATCTTCGTGCTGGTGTACACAGTGACGTGGCTCTTCTTCGGCTTCATGTGGTGGCTTATCGCGTACCTTCGCGGCGATCTGGACCACATAGCGGACGGTCAGTGGACTCCGTGCGTCAATAACCTCAACGGGTTCGTATCGGCCTTTCTGTTCTCCATCGAGACTGAGACCACCATCGGTTACGGATACCGAGTCATCACGGACAAATGCCCCGAGGGGATACTTCTGCTTCTAATTCAGTCGGTGCTGGGATCCATCGTGAACGCCTTCATGGTGGGTTGCATGTTCGTTAAGATCTCGCAGCCCAAGAAGCGAGCTGAGACACTAGTGTTTTCCACCAACGCGGTCATCTCCATGAGAGACGGGCGGCTGTGCCTGATGTTCAGAGTCGGAGACCTCAGAAACTCGCACATCGTGGAGGCGTCGATCAGGGCCAAGCTCATCAAGTCTAAGCAGACCAAGGAAGGGGAGTTCATCCCTTTGAACCAGACAGACATAAATGTGGGTTACAACACGGGAGACGACCGGCTCTTCCTGGTGTCACCGCTCATCATCTGCCACGAGATTAATCAGAACAGCCCCTTCTGGGAGATCTCGCAGGCCCACCTGGCCAAGGAGGATCTGGAGATTGTGGTGATCCTGGAGGGGATGGTGGAGGCCACAGGTGAGACGTCGCCTGGCTTTCTCTGACCACGACGACCACAGATTACAATAATGTGTCCTGTAAATGTTAATTAAGAGTTTGGAATAGATGATTTCTACGAGTATAACCTGATGAAATGTGTCAATATCCGCACTAAATATAATAATAATAATAAACTTATCAGAACCAGAGTTACAAGGTGCAAAGAAAGCGTATAAACCTAAAAAGAGATCAAATTAATATAATATATAAAATATATATTAAGACATAAATACAGTAACTTTTATTTTAAGAAAACTGTAAAATGTTCTGACCAAACGTGAAGCAAAGTTTCTCTTTGTGTCGTGGGATCGTTTGTATTTTCAGTAACATGAGGTGAAAATTTGCGCTTTAATCTGGTTTAAATCAGCAGTTTGGGCCCAAAATAAACAGATTTAATTGCAATAAACGGATCAAAAGGATGCTGGACAAGCAAGCAACTTGTGAAATGCTTGTTTTCTGATTGGAGTTTGGTTGATCAGATCCTAACTAGTAAAGTTAAACTGACAGCTCGAATCCAGTAACAGACACATATCTTCATCAGGTAGTTCAACCTCCTTTCTTACTTCTTTCTTACTTTTTCCTCAAGCGATCTCCTTGATTGTCCACTAACCTGGGAACCTTATGGATCACAACGGACACAGATAGTTGTAATTACACAGTTTGGCCACTATGTTAAATTCTTCCCGGGGACTCATATGTGTGCGGTTCACACTATTTAACCTTCCTCAGGATTAATTGTAATGACTTAAAACGATCTCCTGAACTTTTCCTGTAGCGCCAGTACAGTGCAGAACTAATTAGCAAGTTTATACTTTCTTTTTTTACCTTTACTTTCACCTCTAACTTACATCCACTGTGGTTATCAGTTTGTTGAGAGTGTGGGCGGTAAGTCAGACAGCAGAAGACCATTTTACAGACTGTGGGGTTTATATAATAGTCTGATGTCCGTTACCTGTCAATCACGTGTCAACATTAATTATAATATGCCAACAAACACAGATGTGAAGGCTGATTTCAGCTGAGAGGATCCGCAGGGAGCCTGATGACCCGAACACTGATCGCAGTACCTAAAGCGTACGGTACCTAAACACTAGGACCTCGAGGCTCGAGCTGCCACAAACCTCCTCAGATAAACATATGTTCGATCAGATGGCGTTGAGAGATTTCTCTCGCCGTCAGCCGTGATAAAATGAACCAGTTATGTAACACCTGAGTATTTTCAGACAGCTGCTGGAGGCTCACAGAAGACCTTCCTGCACACAGCTGAGCCAAACAGGACACGATACACATCAAAACACAAAGAAAATGGCGTCAGAGAAAGTGACTAAAAGCCACTGAGGCGCTCTAATATTAACTGTTTCTGGCAATGGATCAAATATTAACCCTGTGAGAACAACAGTGACTCCTTTTACTGTCAGATTCTGATCCATTTGGTCCGATTACATTTAGAAAATATAAGAAAAAACGAAATTAAATGATTTTAACCTGTTCAAGTTAGCAAAAGGTCAACCTGGAAGCTAAGAAGTGAGGTAGAATAAAAAGAATAAAACATCAGTAAAATAAATACTAACAATAAAACCACCAGAAGTATTGTTAAAAGATGCCCCGTTTACTATTTCTCCAACCTTGTACGACATTTTGCTGCATTTTCTTCAATAAAATATTAATTTGGAAGAAGAAAAAGAGTCGAAGGGTTGATGCCAGAAGGAAGAGGAAGTTTAATTTAATTTAAAAACCAAAACTCACTCTTTGATAACTAATAACTCAGATCAGATCTGAACAGACTTTATAAACACATTTATAGATTCAGTGTGACCTACTACTCTCTGAGGATGTCACCAACTCTACGGGATCATAGAAAAAAGACGCTCCTTGTAACTACAGAACTTGCCTTAGAATAATCATATTTTAAAGTTTTCTCCAGTGTGACAGTAAAACGGTGAAAGTTGTCTGCACATTTATGGAAACATCGCAAACAGAAAGTGCTTACAGCTAATTCGGCTAACTTTTAATGGTGGAAAAATGTGAATAAATCTAAGATAATTTAAACTCAAGCAGCAACATTACACATATATATAGGCAGGAATCTGAGCAACAGATCTCTAAAAACCTGGATAAATAAAACTGACTCAGGTTGTTCAAACTTAAGACTTTTCCCATGAATCTGTATCTAGCACCACGACCTTTAACCCCGTAATGTTTCACTGCGTCTTCAGGGATGACGTGCCAGGCGAGGAGTTCGTACGTCAGCAGCGAGATCAAGTGGGGCTACCGCTTCACGCCGGTCCTGACGCTGGAGGACGGCTTCTACGAGGTGGACTACAACAGCTTCCACGACATCTACGAGACCAACACCCCGCCCTGCAGCGCCAAAGAGCTCGCTGACATGTTCAACCGCAGCCGCCTGCCCCTAACCTGGTCGCTGGCCAGCAAGCTGAGCCAGCAGGGACTGCCGGAGTCCGAGCAGGAGGGCCAGGAGACCAAGACCGGCCCGGACGAGCAGGGGAAGCAGCCGGAGAGGAACGGGGACATTGCCAACGCAGAGAGCGAGTCCAAAGTGTGAGACGTTTGAGGAACCGAATGAGGACCAATGAGCACAGTAGACCAAGTATTCCTGCACCAAGAACCGCTTTTTATCTCAGTGATTCTCCCCCGAAAAACAACAACCGTGTCGACATGTGGCCCGCCGCTGAACTGAAACCCTTCGCGGCCAAAGTGCATGTTTCAAATATAATGTGATGTCCTCCTGATGAGATTCCTATTATTTTTTCTATTAAGATATTCCTAGGGGCATTTGCATAAGTATTTTTGTACATACTATAAAACGTTTTGAATTCTTTGTTTTGTTGCGGTGTGAATATTTGAAGATGTTTGATACTGATACCTTCTATAGGTTAGTTCTGTATATATATATATATTCCCTGCCTTACTGTATGTATAAAGCTTTCATTATTTGTTTTTCAGGAACTATATTAGCATGTATAAACATTATCGGCGGTTAATTTATCTTGTACTTGTTGTATATACTGTATGATGATAATGTTATAAGGAAACACGTACACATCTCAATGGATGCAAACTCTAGTTTAAACCAATGACGAATACTTCCCCAAATGATAAGGTAGTGCTACGATACGATTCCCCTCGAGAAGCCATGACCCTGCCGTTCGCAGCCGACTGACTTCCGACAACGGCCCTTTAAAAACTGCATTTCGTCACTTTTGCACATCGGAGGTGGAGAGAGTTAGTCACTGTTTCAGTCTCCAGGAAAAATCCCTCACATGTCACCGAACAGTATCAGAAATAATAAACAGAAAATGACATAAAATGTTATTGATGAGACTATTTTTCTTTATCTTCTCTACTTGTTGTATCATCCGATGCCTCATCTGATTTTAGTAACAAGTCCATCAGGAAACTCCCATAAATCACCTCGGTACCGCTGTCGTCAACCTGTCCTCTGTCTGTCTCTGAGTTCACTGGGAGGCTGCTGAGCCCCGATCAGTTGCTAACAGCAGCTACATTAGCAGTTAGTGTCTACAGACAATATTCTCTCCAAAAAATATAAAATATGTCATTTACCAAAATCACTGATAAAGTGTGTGTTGTACCAGTTATCAGTGATCTCACTCTGATCGCTAAAAAGTTGTAGATGATTGACGGTGTGAATGTCAGGATATTATTGGTTGAAATCAGTTAGTTAATGCTGACGTAAGCACACGTCACATTTAGTTTCACAGGAAGACAAAATTATTGAATTGAGTTTTTGTGAATGTTTCTGGCGTAAATTGTTAAATATGGGAACACTGAGGATGAGATCTTAAAGGGTTAAAATTAATTTTTTCATCTCACCTGGACTTTAAAAACTTCAGTAGATGAGGCAACTTTTAACTTTCTACATTTTTATACAAATATCTTAATACTACTTGAATGTTAAGAACACTTCTTACTCACTTCGACTGATATTAAAAAGGTTTAAGAAACGCTGCACTAATGAAAACATACCTTTAAATATCAGAATCCATTTCTGCCAATAAATACTCCGTTACAAGTGAGATGAGACAGACTTTATTGATCCCACACCGGAGATATTCCCTCTCATGTGTCTCATAAATTAATCTTAAATTAAAAAATCAATCCAACGACTGACATTAAACAACCCCAGCGAGTAACATCACTTTAGTTAACACCACACGTGGTTCTCAGTTAATCTGCTAACGTAAATCAAACCGGGTCGAATGTAGGTTTTTAATTCAACGTCAGTCGTCAGTTAGCACAGCAGCAGCGTTTCAACAGGCAATCAGACTCACAGCACACTGTTAATATTATACAGAACATCACAAACAGCAAAATAAATCTATCTTTAAAATACATTATTCATAGCATTCATGGGTCAGGAGACGTCACGATCAATAGGAGTGGTTATTTCTGTTTTAAAACCCAAAGAGTTAAAATTCAAATACAAGGTTTTTATCTTTTTTATGGTCAAAACAAAAACAATTTGATATTATTTCATATTTACAGGAATTTTAAGACCATTCAGTCGTGTTACATTCAGGTTCATTATACAGCTGAACTCTACAAACACGACAATATTAAAAACAGTGTTTACAGAAACTGAAGCATCTCTTCATGTTGATTTAATGCTCGACAATAATGAGGTTTTGTTCCAGAGCGGCTCAGTGTTTCATTTACAGCTCGATGATTTCAGTTCAACACACAAATAAAACCGAATATTAAACACAGCAAAGAAACTGTTATCAAAGTCAAACTGGCCTCAAAACAGAAACACTGACAGTTTATACTGGATGTAAAAGTTCAGTGTGGAACAAAACAGCTCGTTTATTCATTTTCTGTTTTAATTTTTTTGTTTTTTAAATGAAAAACAGTTAATTTTTCATTTACTGTTTTCATTTTAAAAACAAAAAAATCCTGATTGGTGTAAATGTGAGTTGATTTAGGATATGAAGGTGATTTGATTGATTTGTGGCACACTTTTTAAATCAACTTTTTAACCTTTCCACTATTTCTAAGTAAAAAAAGGCTAAAATCTAAAGTGAAGTCACATAAATGTAATAAAAAAAGTTAAATAAAAACACAAGAAGGCCACACAGAGTGAAATGTGTTGTTTCTACCTAACTTTAGCATTTTAGCATTAGCAAGGGGGGACAAACAGTAGGATCCAACTTAATGCTGTCATTAAACGTTAATCAGTTAACTATTAAAGATTAGTGTAACCAAACCGATATGTTTTTAATGTTTCGAAGGCAGTTTGATTAATGCGATCATAAACGTTATTAATTTAACACACTACGAGAAATTAAATGTTTGTTTATTTTCTACCTGACAATAAATAAAGTCAAACTCTTCTCGTGAGTAACAGCTAACGTGCTAGCCTCAGTCACAATATCGCTTTTAGCTTCTTTTTATTTTTGACTTTTACTCTCTTCTGTTATTTTGTTCTCAGGATTGTTCACAGTACACATTTAATTATTAGTGGAGTGTGAAACACAAATACTAAGCTACGTGTTAGTTCCTCCACTTTGAACTCTCTGGCTCTCCGTCCTTTCGAAGGTTCGCACCGTTCAGACAACTCAGTAAAGGAAACTGACTTAATAATAATATAATAATAATAACAATTAGATGTTTTAGCATATTTATTTTACCCCAGAGAGTAAATCCGCTGATCGCTGCAATTTGATTAAAATGTATCAGTGGTTCCCAACCTTTATTCTTTAGATCCCTTTTCTGTAATTTAGTAAACTAAGTGATTTAAGTGTATATTTCGTATTATATTCAATGTATAATAATAACAGTTGCTGATAAACTACATTAAACCCAAATATCTTAAAGAAGTTTGTGTAAAACTAAAGATTTGGATGAATTTTGAGCAGATTATTTCCTGTAAATATTGAACAGAGATTAGTTTTTTTTATACAATTCTGTCAGTATTATGTATTTTCTGTATGTATTATACATGTTTTAACAATCATACAGACTTCAGATGCTTCTTTTTAGTCAAATTCAGTGTTTTCTGCTCATTGCTTTATCAGCTCTTTGGTTGTTTGAACTTTTATCTGAGAGTGAATAATAATAATCTAAAAAAATAACAATTTCACTTAGTTTTCATCACATAAATGAACAAAATGCTGAATTACAGGCCTATTGTGTATATTAGTTTTCTTACACCCTTTAAAATTAAGAAGGCGTTGCGACCCCCCCGGTGGAGCTTTGACCTCCAGGTTGGGAACCACTGAATATAAACACGGGTGTGACGAGGCGTTTAAAGTGCAGAACACACGTAGCGAGATGGCGTTCAGTGCGGAGTACCGTTGCCGTGTGTGACATGTTTTTCCTCCCTTTTTAGACGCCCGCTACCCAGCGAACACCTGCGGCGTGAGCGGCGGCGGCAGGTTGTCGTTGTCTATGTTGTTGGCGTCGATGGCAGAAGCTTTGCGAGGCACAATCTCCAGAGGATATTTCTCCAGGATGTCTTGCACCTCGCGCTGAACGCCCTCCGGCCAGGAGAGGAGGTCGGCCTGCAGACTCTGAGCCGCCTCCATCAGCGTCTCCTGCCGGCTGCTGAGCCCCGACAGCAGCTCCAGGTTGTGGTTGAGCTGAGCCAGGACGGGGTTGGCGGGGGCCACGCCGGGCGCCGGGCCAGTCTGGGGCCAGTCTACCTCCGAGCTGTTGAACCGCGGCGAGGCTTGGCCCGACATGTAGCGCTCGAATTCCTCTGGGGAGAGATTGAGAGACTGAGCGTCCAGCTTCTCGATGAACGCCGCCGCACAGCACTGAAAGAGGACGAAGATCAATATTAAAGGACGTTTTGTGGTTTCTGGTGGAGAAACATGAAAAGATCTCAACTCGTATCTATTTGTTGAATAGGCCTTGCCGTGAAATAATCAACCTGATTCACTCCTGATTCACTGTCTGTGTTGGATTTTGCATTTTGCTGCTTTTCTTACTTCTTTTTCTCTTCTTGTTGCTTCAAAAAATCTAAAAAAACTAGAGTTACAGACGCTCAGAGTACTTTTCTACGATATAATATTAATTATGCAGCAATCAAAGATGAAAAAACATATTCAAATATTATTTATAAAGATTTTAACCCTTAAAAACTGAAACTATCACCTCTGACGACTTTACACTGTTATTTCTGTCAGGAGTTAAATATTTGTTGATGAATTTAAAGTTAAATTAATTAATAATTGAGCTCCGATGAGGACTGAAGTCAAACGGACCAGGTTGGTGAAGTAGTAGCCGTCCTCTCCGGTCATCAGTCTGCTGGGGTTACAGAAGCGGGTGATGTACTGGATGTTGGACTGCAGTCGCGGAGGGTTGGCTTTGAGCACGATGTAAATGAGCGCCGGGAGGAAGTCGTCCGCCGAGGCCGGCTCGTTCTTCGTGATCCTGATGGCGCTGAAGATGTTTTTACTGCAGCGAGTGATGCACCCGAGTTTGTCCCGAGGAACCCTCTTCGAGTCAATCTCAATGATATCTGGAGACAAAGACACGTCAGTAACTGTTTTATTGATTTAAAGCTCCAGTGTCACATTGAGGAGGATCTATTGTCAGTAATGTGATATAATATTTAAAGGGATGTTTTCATTAGTGTTTAATCACCTGAAAACAATAATTGTTATGTTTTTGTTTCCTTAAAATCAGACGTTTTTATCTACAGAAGGATCTTCTTGAGACACTTGAAAGGCTGAGCTGTATTCAGTTGGTTGCAATCTGAAACTTCACCACTAGATGCCACTAAAACTGGTCATTTAAGTCTGTTTATAATAAATATTCCAGTTAATTTTAGTAAGTTTCCAGCTGCTTTCTTAGTCGTCTTTGATTTAAATTTAATTTAGAAAATTATTTAATATCTTGGTCGGACAGAAGAGGGAATTTAAAAATGTTAACTACGGCGGACCCCACCACTAGAAGACTCCTCTGTAGATAAAAACGTCTCATTTTAAGGGAACAAAAACACAATTATTATTATTTTCAGGTGATTAAACACTAATGAAAACATCCCTATAAATATTACATCACATTACTGACAATAAAACCTCCTGAATGTGTGACCTTTAAATACAAACTAGCTTGGGTTTATTTATTATCAATAGTTTTTTGCTCCTTTCTGTCTCAGCTGTCTGAAAGGGGGCGTGTCTACGTTTGATTGACAGCAGCTGGCCGGTGTTACAACACTGACAGAAGATAAACAAAGTAAACAAGCTAATGCTGTAGCTTCATGTGCAGACAGCTTGTTGTTAGTAAGTAAAGACGAAGAGTAAAGACCACCAGCATCCGACAGCAGTGACATTAGCAGGTACGTTGACGGACCGTGAGCAGCTCGTCAGTTATCTGTTGTTCGGTTGGTTCAGCAGGTTAAAGTACAGGAAGAGACGAGTGTGTGAGTTAGAGAAGGACGAGACTTCAGCATTAAAGCTAATGTGGGCTGTTGTTTGAAGTCTGGGTTGTGTAGCAGGTTGCTGATGAGTCTGCATGATGCAAATATGGTTTAAAATGAAGGAATCTGATTGGTTTACAGGGTTTTAAAAGGTTCAATTCAAGACTTTTACCATCTTTTAAAGAGCTCTGAGAATCTGCGATGAGGATTTTTATTTTAAAAAAGAAAATTCATATATAATTCAAGAAAATAAATAAATACTACAGACTAATTGTTAATTAAAAACAGTCGTTGGGGTCCGCCATGTTTCTACTGTAGCCCAGGGGAGGGTGAGGCGAGGGAGTCGCACTCTGACCTGTTATTGCTTTGACCACATTCTCAGAGACTTCTGGGATTTCTTCGTCCATAGACACACACAGCATCTGGATGGTCACCCAGTGTAACGCCCTGCGGATACAGAGACTCTCAGTCAGTCGTCAGTGTGACGTAACTTTAACAAACACAGTCGACTTCATATTCACGTGGAGAAAAAGCTAAAAGGGAAGTTCGTGTTAAACCAGAGAACTGGACAGCCGATTATTTCCTGTTAATATTGATCAGAAATATGTTTTTATACAATTCTGTGTCTGTATTAGTACATTTAATTTTAACAATCATCCAGAACTTAACAAGCTTCTTTTTTAACAGATTCAGTGTTTCTGGTTGTTTTCTAACGCAGGACGAGACGGTTTATCAGACAGTGAAGTCTCTCTGTTGTGTTCAGGTCTTCAAAGTTTAGATCTTAAATAAAAATCTAAACTTTAAAAATAACAATTTCATTCAGTTTTCTTAAAAAAAAGTGAATGAAATGAGATATTGTTTCTTTTTTATTGTCTTTTCTTTACTTTTATTATCTCGTATCTCATCTCATTTTATAAAGGCCTACTGTACATAATATTAAAGTTTTCTTTCACCTTTTAAAATCAAAATCAAGAAGGCCTCCCGACCCTCAGGTTTTATAAAGTTGGGGTTGACACAGGAGTGAAAGCCACTAGGGGGCGCCAAAGCTTCACAGGGGGTCTTCTTGATTTTAAAGGGTGTAAGAAAACCTTTATAAATATACACATTAGGTCGATATCTCAGCATTTTATTTATTTATGTGGAGAAAACTAAATGGAATTGTTAATTTTTAAGTTTAAATTATTATTTAAGATCTAAAGTTTAACACAAGTAATATTTACTGAGCTTCACTCTTTGATAAACAGCCAAAAAATGAGCCTATTAAATCTGTAGGATTGTAAAAAATAAAATCAAATAAATAAATAATACAGACACATAATTAAATAAAAAGCTCCTAAAAATGTTAGAAAAACAAATCTCTCGTTTTACACAAACATCCTTCAGTTACTGAGTTTATCAGCTGTTATTGATAAACCCTGAATATAATATTAAAATATCCAATAAACGTGGATCAATATAGAAACGTCGCCGCCCACCTGATCCTCTTCTGCGTGGCCAGATCTTTCTTCTCGTCATCGGTGGTTTCGGGACAGAAGACGCTCTTATACAGACGACTCATTATGTACTTTTCCACCTGGTCCATCACCTGTTCCACGGACTCCGAAGAACCTGATCAAAGATTCACCCGAACACGTTAATCAATACACTAATCAATACGTTAATTAGAGCTAACGGGCCGCAGCGAGGAGGAGGAGCCTGTTTGCGCTGCCATCTAGAGGTTGATTTTAAAGGAAGTGAGTGAACCGACCTTTAAAGTGGCTCATCAAGCGGTCCGCCATGTTCTGGTAGAAATCCTGAACGCACTCCGACAGCTCGTCGGCGCCGAGGTCCTGTAAGACGAGAGGTTGGAGGGTCATACGGCGCCGATCGGTGTATTGATCGGCTCATGTTAAGCTTTTATTATTAGGACTGTTGTTATTACGACCTTCTTGCTCGACATGTTCACGATGAAGGTTCGGCACTGCTTGTGGATCTCCCGTCCGGGCTTCTGGAGGTTCTTCAGGAACTCCACAAAGTCCTTCGACACCTGATCCGTATCGAAGCTCGCATGGCGGCTAATGGACGGACTTGGAGTCTTTCCCTCCTGGGTTTCTGATGGAGGAAGAACCACATTCAGAACAAACTAACAGGTCCTGGGTTATGTTTCATGCTTACATACTGAGGATGAAGCTAACGGCTCTGAGTGTCGTACCTTTCTTCGGGGCGGTGCGAGATGACGGGCTGAAGAACTTCTTCACCGTCGTCACTTTCCGCGTCTTCTCATTCGTCTTTTTCTCCTCAAACTTGGAGAAGGGTCCCAGGGAGGCGTGTCCGGGGTGAGGCTGCGGCGCCGGCGCTGCAGACTGGGGGTGCGTCTGCGCTCCGTGACTGCTGGCGTACGCCGCCTCCTCCTCTCGCTGCAGCCTGAGAGCATCGGGCAGAGCGGAGAGTGAATCATTAACACACTGCGAGGAGAAGCTGCTGCCAACGATTGCGGCAGAAGGTCTCACTTACTTTTCTGCCAAGGCCCAGTCGTCCTGGATCTGTTTCTGCCGCACCCGCTGGTACTCCTCCCGCCAGCACTTGGAGCACAGGCCCTGCCATGCCGCGTTGCCATAGTAACCGCATCCCTTCTTGCACAGCAGGTCAGACTGGTCCACGTGTATCCCCCGTCGCTCCGTCCGCTGACTCATGGCTGCTGGAGGGAAAGTAAACGATGGTTCAGCAGGTTTATTGGTTGTGTTTGATGCACAGAGCTCGCAGTTTGTGGACGCCGTCACGCAGACTTTAAATAACTTAAATTACTTTAAATGTGTCTCTGTGACTGCTGAGGTTTCAGAGTTGCCCCCAAGTGGCAAATAATAATAATTAAAGGTTGTATACAAGATTCACGGCCACTAGATGTCGCATTAGAGCACCGGCATCTCAGACAATAAGAACCAGGCTCCATTGACAAAACCAGT